TCAGTAAAATTACGTATTATTCTACTTCGTTCTCTGTGTGCTGACTGGAAGCCGGCTGGGGAAATATTCAGTGTAGGTCATTATCAGGGTTAGAGCTAGTTATACTGCGGTACCGTATCTGTGTAGGTCATTATCAGGGTTAGAGCTATTATACTGCGGTTCGCATCTGTGTAGGTCATTATCAGGGTTAGAGCTTATTATAATACTGCGGTACCGTATCCGTGTAGGTCATTATCAGGGTTGGAGCTTATCATTATAGGTTAGAGCCATGCGGTAACCGCATCTGTGTAGGTCATTATCAGGGTTAGAGCTCGCATCTGTGTATTATACTGCGGTACTGTATCTGTGTAGGTCATTATCAGGGTTAGAGCTATTATACCGCTGTACTGCATACCGTATCTGTGTAGGTCATTATCAGGGTTGAGCCATTATACTGCGGTACCGTATTGTAGGTCATTATCAGGGTTGGAGCTATTATACCGCGGTACCATATCTGTGTAGGTCATTATCAGGGTTAGAGCTATTATACTGCGGTACCATATCTCCTCCAGGACAGCCTGAATCCTTGGCGAGTATTGCTTCCGTCAGTTGTGAAGGTCATTTTAAACTGTCTGCCAACTATTGTGTCACGACTGTCACCGGTAAATGACACATTCCGTTGGTACCCATACACATCTTCGTATGAAATCTGAAACACATGCAGAGTCGATTAAGCTGTGTGATGGTTAGAGGTATACTCTCATACCTCAGGCTGGTTCTGTATTGGATTCTATAGGTGGTAGAGGTGATATTAAAATATGTACCGATCTTTTCACTACACCGTGTTCCAGTAAATTATTAGTTATGACAGTTCTAATATTTTGAAATGGAAAGAACAGTATATGGGGAATATGAGATAGTAGCACATTGTTGTTATTATTTTCAGATAAAAATAACTAAATGCAGCAAATTTGGTGACGCAAGAACAGTCGGGCTGGTTAAGCTCAGCTCGGGGCTCTTGCCCCTCTCCAAACCCTGAGAGCGAATGGGACTTCTCCATAGAAGCTCTACTAAGTCGATATTCTAGATCGTACCACTGATGCACCTCTTTGTCAAAAGGGGGAAATGGAAAGCGTAAGATACAGCGTCACTCCTGTCCTTATTGGACAGTCGTTAACTTCTTAGCAAAATGTACATTTCGTAATTATATTACAGTTTGATGCAAAATCACAACCGTATTAAGTTGAAAATGACTATGAGCGGCTAACAGAAGGCTGTTGTTTCACGTTTAAAGCCTGCCTACTTCAAATAAGCACTTCTCAACACACTGGACATAAACACGATGCAGTTGTCGGTTAGAGAGCCTTCCTTTAAAAACCAGACTTCGGCAATTTAAAATAATGAATTTATCTTGGTTGACAAGCATTTCTGCATCATCAATCAGTTCAGAAGCATCATCAACTCTGACATAACGATAAAGTCTTGCCTGTGTTATATAGCTGTGGAACCTTGACATGCTTCACAAGAGAATCATCGGACAAATATGTTTGTGCACAAGACAATTCTGTCATAAAGCGCCTTCACGTTAATCAAACCACTATTGATAACATTATCCAGTCATAAAGAAAAGACAAAAGTATGAAAGTGTATGTTTTCATTACCCTCAGGATGTCATAATTCTGTTCTAACATCAAATCGTCAATGCTCAGTTCTATGTTGTAAGATGGGTAGATCCCGTAGACACAGTAGAGGTTGTTGGAGTAGTTGCTGGGGTAGTTCGGAGATTGGAAAACGCCACTGGTGCTGTAGCTCGTCTCCCCACAAGCTTAAAGATAACATGCATGTACTGAGGGAGCGAATAATGCAACATGTAAATACAAATAAATAATTATAAACAGCTCAGTGACGTCATCACTGCCGCGGTTGAACATGAACGTATATAGGAAGTTGATCTTTTAGCCATAATGCTATAAATACCCGCTCTGCATTTTTATATCGCCTATATGTTTCTCCTTGTGAGTATTGAAACATTTACTTCTGTCTGGAGTCGCTGCGTATCACGAGTGTGTTTGGGAAAATATAACATGTCCCCGAATATTTAAAACATTGTGTGAATTTTTTTATTCATGCAAGTGACCTACCGTAACCAGATGACGTCTGATATCGCCAGTCTGACGTGGTTCCTAAAAAAAATAGAATTGATTAGGTAAATATTTGCAAGTGGAATTGATGTTTGTTTCATCGCAAAAGAACAGACATAACAGCAGTTATAAACTGGGAAATTATATTTTGCGTAAAAAGAACTTTAACTTCAATAACAAGCGTTGGTTGGTTGTAGTTCATCACTTAACACCATAATCTTTACAAAGCAATCATTTCAAAATGCTTGCAGAACAAATGTGAAACTCGGTTTTACCTTCAGTGCTTGCGTAAGGCCATCGGGAGCCCCAGCCTATGGAGATAAAAAATCACTTTTGTTAGTATAACAATCCCTGTAGGTGTGGTATGAAAATCACAAATGTCGGTAGACAGTTCCTGGATATAAAAGTCGCCTGTGTCAGTATCACGGTTCACAGACGTGAAGTATGAAAATCATAATTCATATATCGCGGATATGTTGCACCGTTTGAGTATTGAAACACTTACCTCTGTCTGTAGTGGACCAATACCACGGGTCTGTGGAGGAAAATGAAACATGTCTCAGAATATTTTACAATTTGTGTGAACGGACGTTTCTTTTAAAAAGCATCCTTGACCTCAGTCTTCATATTTCGCAATACTCACATGTGGTCGCCATTCCATTCCAAGGGTAGGGGCTTGATGACTGTCTGTTGTAACTTGAGTCTGGTGGAGAGAGTTAGAAAATGTATTTAAAAATCTGACGCATGAAGTGTCTTGATTCGACATTGTATCCGCATATGTGTCTGGCATGGCCAAGCACCCGGATAACCAATGATCTAGATTCTACTCTTTGCGCTTGGTCGCCAATTGCAAAATAGTTTTGTGCGTAAACTCGATGTATATAATCACATTCGACGAACAAAACCGCATTTCTAGCTTTCGGACACATCTTACGTTTTCTGGGGGGTTTTGGACTGGTAAATATTATTGTGACTACATTGTATATCATTCTTTTTTCTTTTCACAGACCACCTCCGTGGTCTTGTGGAGGGGGCGTCGGCCCGGAGAGCGGTTGGTCGATGGCTTGATTTCTGGACACCTTCTACAAATCTACACTATCCTGCCTTTCACTATTGTATTATGGGGAGAAGCAAAATATAGACAAATTTTATGGATAACTGATTCTTTTGTTTCGTAAGTGCGACATTCGGATACAGATCCCTGTTCAGTTGCCAAGCACATGTGCGTGCGCGTCACAAGTTTAGTGCAATAAATCTAACAGAGACTTCGAACCTCATATCGTTTCACTACCTCTCAGTGTCATGTTTAAAAAGAGGGTCAAATGTACTAGCGAAATAATCAGCATTCAGAGGTTCAAGATATGCACTGAGCAGAATTATTCTTACCTGTCGTGGGATACGTCGGGAATGATGAGTCATCTACAATCAATCGAAAAAAGAATTTACTTCAGGCCCAACAGGGAACTTATGTAGTAGAATGGTCTCCGGACATAATTAGTCTACATTTGCACATCATTTACAAGTTTATCGTCTTGCTACTGTATGTGTCTTGTGTATGTCTCGTGGTGTTGTATCAATGTACATATGTCATAGTATGGTGTTCGTGGATGAGTGACCAGTCGTTTTAGATATGTATTATGTTTTTATGTATACATATATGTCATTTCATACGTAATCTCCATGAGCTTTGAGTAACTAACGCATACACAGGACGTATGTACTAGTAATTATAATTCCCAAAACTGTAGATTATGAATGCAAAGTAGAGCTGTTAAGATGAGAGTATAGGCAAGATAACAACATACCTGGACCATAGTACAGTTTGAAGCCTCTTTGGACATTGCTGCCGTCAGAAGTAAACACAACCCGGAAGTACCTCCCATAAAGATAAACATTGCCAGTCACGTCGTTTCCATGTTGGTCATAAATCTGTAAATAACTTAGTCTTAAGGTAACAAATCTAAACACATGTAAGAATGATATTTCAGGATCATTGTCAAAACTGTCTTGAAATTTCACAGTGTCATTGAATTTGTTTTATGTATAAATTCCCGATTGTGGTGTTTATTGTATTTGGATAACCTTCTTGCCTTTTCCATGTGTTTTTTGTATGTGCTTTTCCATTCGTGTTTCGTGAGGGACATTTCAGTGTATTTTGCGTTGCATATTTCGTCACTATGAGTGCACCATCAGATATACTTTTGTCGTGTTGTGTGTTTTTTCGAATACCTTGTATTAACCCTATCCGATTCATAAAAAACATTCCCATGATCCAGTAGTTCAATGGCTCTGTTGGTGGACTAAAGTCCTTGGTTACGTTTCGTCATAGAATGAATAGAATGTTTCAGTTATGCTTACTCAAAGCTACGAAAGAAATGTTTGGGTCGAGACATTCAGCCATTGTGTCTTATGAACTTATTTCTATCTTTCTGTTTGTTTGTACATAAAGCAGCAGAATCTCTGCATTCATGTAATCACACCATTCATGTAATTGTCGATGCTTTTATATACATTGTACGCCCAGTGGAGATTGTTGTGGAGTACTCGAGATTTGTCATTCTATCGCTTTGAAGTTGTATATTGTTGCACCTTGTGAGTATTCAAAAACCTCAAAGGGGTTTTGTTGCTCTATTGTATGCATGCATGTGTGTTTGGATGTGTGATATGTTCATGTTATTGCGTTTGTCGGCTGCCAGGTATGTCTTGTTCACTAGCTGGAGTCGGCGAGTCTGACCACCTGATCCCGTTATTCGCCTCCTACGACAAGCATGGGCTACTGAAGATCAATTTCACATCAAGGGGAAAAGGACGGGAAGCATGTGATATGAAAGCATACAACTTTATTGATAACATTGACTACACCCTTGTAATGATAGGTGATGCCTGTCACAAAATTGTATGTATATACACGTCTCAGCACTTGGGTGTATTCAATATTAGCTTGATAACGGTGTAAGAATCCATATCGAAACGTCGCTCTTTTCAGTAAACAAGATGTTCCTATCTTTATAATTGTACGCTTCCTTACTTACCCTCCACCTTCAAGAATGCCAATCACACAACAAAACATATTATCGTGATTCAGGCTGATCGAACGACATACATTCACATATCCTTCAAACATCGATCAATCAGTGCTCGGTTTGTTTCACGTTACTGTATGAGAGATTGGGTATATCTACTATACCACGAGATGGTCACAGCAAGACTCCAGGTATTTGTCGACGACGCTAAGGTAGACGTAAGTGCCAGGGTCGATGATGTATTCGCAGTGGGCGTTGTTGAAGTAGTCCCCTGGGTAGTTAGGAGATGTGATGTACCCCGACAATCTGTTGTTGTGTTTTGTTCCGCAGCCTGAAATGTTGTAATTGTACATTCACCTATGATGACAGAACAGCAATTAGAACAATTATCGTCAACAGCTTTTGGATGGTGTATCATTAATAAGGATGGTCAGAGCTTGCTGGGGTGAGTAACCAGTGACTCAGTGTAGTCACTGCATGTATAATTATCAGTAATGCACTTTAAAAATCGTCCACACAAAAATACATAGACATTATTGAGACAAGATAACAAAGCTGAAGTGGAAACGATCGCTTTCTGTTTTACATTATAAGCAATAAGAGTTCCAAGCCTAACAATAACAGTTAACAGGTATTAAGTATTATACTATCTATGCTCACATGATAGATTTGAACCAGATATATACAACATGGGAAAATATATCTACGGGCATCAAGGTGTTGATGAAACATTGGTGAGACATGGCTACCGTGCCGTCATCAAGCAGATCCAACTGATAATGAGAAGATGATGAGGAGTCACACATGCGACCATGTCATCTCTAGGGGACGATGCTCTCTACGTTTGCGCTCTTGAAGGATGGACAGCGGCCCAAGAGTGTTCTGTTCTGGGGATTTTTATACAACAAAGAGGATGTCTTCTACCCAGAGTGATTCATGTGCTCAAGCATTGAAAGCTCAATAGAGCATCTTGGTCCCGAATCTTTAAGAAAGCATCGTATACTCAGCAGCAAAAAAACTTCAGTACGAATTCAAAATCAGATAGGCACTGTAATCAAATCATTACAGAAATGGACATAATAAGCGGATCAAAAACATTTTTTGTGTACAATATTTTGATACATCTATGAACAACATAACCCAGCACAATTTCAAGACATTATGTGAACGTTTGCAGTCCATTCAGACTCTTGACTTCAGTATCTACTGTGACCACCACGATCGGCAATAACTGCAGCACAGCGTCTATGCATGGAGTGCACCAATCCATTGATGAAGGTCATTGGCACCTGGAAGCACACTCTGAGAAAGGCCTGGCGCAATAAATCGGCTGTGTTCGGCCTTGGTATGACATTATTCAGTCTCCTCTGAATTTCATCCCAAAGATGTTCAATTGGGTTTAATAAGGACAAAGGGCTGGCCACTGCATAATGTTGACACCGTTCTGCTGTAGGAAGTCCCGTGTAGCTCTGGCAGTATGGGCCCGGGCGTTATCAAGCTGGAAAATGTTGTTCCGGTGATGTGTGAAATGTGGTATGACGTGGGGTCTGAGAGCTTGGTCGATGTAGCGCACCGCTGTGATGCCGCCTCCTCTCCCTGGACCAAGGTTCTGGAACACCACAGGACCCACTCTCAGGTTTAGGCCTATTCCACCCAATGCCATGATGCTTGCACCTTCCCATGAGTCCCTTTCCATAACACATTGGTCTGAGTACCGACTCTCATCTGTGAACAGAACAGTACTCCATTGCCTGTATCGCCAGTTTTGGTGTTGTAGGGCAAACTGTAGACGTTCACGCCGATGACGAGGGGTGAGGATAGGTCCACGGTAAGGTCTACGGCAATGGAGGTTCCCGCTGTTAAGACGTCGGCGTACTGTATCAGTACTGATTGGTCTTCCGTGTGTTCCCACTGTCTGGCGTGCTGTTTCGGATGCCTGCATGAAGGGATTCTGTACATGCTGTCGCACAACCTGGCGGTCTTGTCGTCTTGTGGTCACCGCTTGGTCTGCCAGTACGGGGGCGATCATTTTGTCGTGTTGGTGGCCCGGAAACGTTGCTGCAGCCTGTAGATGGTCGAACGTTGTCTTGGGAAGTGATTGGCAACGCTTACTTGTGCAGTGTGGCCAGCTTCAAGAATCTTCCTAGCGCCTGGTTCCTCTCTCAGCTGTCGTGAGTCGCGGCATCCCTGCTGACGTTATTACTGTGAATGTTTCAAACAGGTTTGGGGGTGCATTTTATAGGGCTGTCCTTGTGAACAGCACGTGCAGCATGAGTTGCATGAAAAACACGGAGAACACCGTACCATCTCCGAGATCAGGTTGCGTTTTTGAGACCATTTCCTGGGTTTCATTCTGAGTTTGGGAAGGAATGCCTTTGCTCAGGAAAAGTTGGAGATGTCAAAATATACCATCAAAGCATTAAATGAGTTTACAGTTGTCCGTTTCTGCGAAGGAAAATTTCAAACTGACGTTTCTTTTGCTGCTTAGTATATATGTAACATCATCAGGTTCGACTTGGATGGTTACGTAGAAAGGATTTTGTTTACGAAATCATTTTCACCAGTTGAATTCGTACTCATGATCAAACATATACTATACTCCCCGATAAATGTGTTCCCCTCAAACTCACAGTTCAAAGTCAGAAACCAACGAATTCATTTAATTCAAAATCACATTCATGGCATTCCACATACACATATTGCTAGAAATGTACAACTCACTTATAACACTGCAGTAAGTGATAACATGCAGGAGGTGTCTCCATTTATTTTAAGTTGCTGTAGCAAATGTCGAGAAAAGAAAGGAAGAAAAGCTAGTTCCGATGTCTTCGTTTTGAAGTCTTGACTATCTCTTACTGTTAATGTTACTTCCCATCGCTGGCACATATGTTCAACGTTGCAACAAGAATCCTCGTCTATTTGGTATTTTGCAACTCAACACATACCGTAACTGCTGCCAGATGACGTCTGATATCGCCAGTCCTGTGTGGTTCCTAAAAAGTATTGAATTGAATTGGTAAATATTTGCAAGTGGAATAGATTTTTTGTTTTACAGCAAAAACACTAAGACATAGCCGGTTTATTTTGTTACGAACTCAGAAATTATATTTGGCATAAAAAGAACTTTAATTTAAAATAATATGCGTTGGCGCTAGCTCATTACTGAACACCATGCATGGCCTTCTCCAAAACATTCATTTGAAAATGTTTGCAGAATAAATGTAAAACTGCAGAACCCATGTGTCGTTGTAAGGGTTCCTGTAGATGGAGTATGTACATCTCGTGTATCGTTGTAAGGGTTCCTGTAGATGGAGTATGTACATCCTGAATGTGGTTGTAAGGGTTCCTGTAGATGTAGTATGTACATCCCGTGTATCGTTGTAGGGGTTCCTGTAGATGGAGCATGTACATCCATGTATCGTTGTAAGGGTTCCTGTAGATAGAGTATGTACATCTCGTGTATAGTTGTAGGGTTCCTGTAGATAGAGTATGTACATCCTGTGTGGGTTGTAAGGGTTCCTGTAGATGGAGTATGTACATCCCGTGTATCGTTGTAAGGGTTCCTGTAGATGGAGCATGTACATCCCAGATATATCGCTGTAAGGGTTCCTGTAGATAGAGTATGTACATCCGTGTATAGTTGTAAGGGTTCATGTAGATGGAGTATGTACATCCTGTATGTGGTTGTAAGGGTTCCTATAGATGGAGTATGTACATCTCGTGTATCGTTGTAAAGGGTTCCTGTAGATGGAGTATATAAATCCGTGTGTCGTTGTAAGGGTTCCTGTAGATAGAGTATGTATATCCATGTGGTTGTAAGGGTTCCTGTAGATGAAGTATGTACATCCCGTGTGTCGTTGTAAGGGTTCCTGTAGATAGAGTATGTACATCACGTGTATCGTTGTAAGGGTTCCTGTAGATGGAGTATGTACATCACGTGTGTCGTTGTAAGGGTTCCTGTAGATAGAGTATGTACATCACGTGTGTCGTTGTAAGGGTTCCTGTAGATGGAGTATGTACATCCTGTGTGTCGTTGTAAGGGTTCCTGTAGATGGAGTATGTACATCCCGTGTATCGTTGTAAGGGTTCCTGTATTTAGAGTATGTACATCATGTGTGTCGTTGTAAGGGTTCCTATAGATGAGAGTATGTACATCCCATCGTGTGTATCGTTGTAAGGGTTCCTGTAGATTGAGAGTATGTACATCGCTGTGTATCTTTGTAAAGGGGTTCCTGTATATGGAATATATACATACCCTGTGTCGTTGTAAGGGTTCCTGTAGATGGAGTATGTACATCACGTGTATGTTGTGTGGGTTCCTGTAGATGGAGTATGTACATCTCCTGTATCGTTGTAAGGGTTCCTGTAGATGGAGTATGTACATCCGTGTGTTCGTTGTAAGGGGTTCCTGTAGATGGAGTATGTACATCTACTGTATCGTTGTAAGGGTTCCTGTAGATAGAGTATGTACATCCCGTGTGTCGATGTAAGGGTTCCTGTAGATAGAGTATGTACATCTCGTGTATCGTTGTAAGGGTTCCTGTATATAGAGTATGTACATCCCGTGTGTCGTTGTAAGGGTTCCTGTAGATAGAGTATGTACATCCCGTGTATCGTTGTAAGGGTTCCTGTAGATGGAGTATGTACATCCTCGTGTATCGTTGTAAGGGTTCCTGTAGATGGAGTATGTACTTCCCGTGTGTCGTTGTAAGGGTTCCTGTAGATGGAGTATGTACATCCCGTGTATCGTTGTAAGGGTTCCTGTAGTTCAGGTATGTACATCACGTGTATCGTTGTAAGGGTTCCTGTAGATGGAGTATGTACATCCCGTGTATCGTTGTAAGGGTTCCTGTAGATGGAGTATGTACATCCGTGTATCGTTGTAAGGGTTCCTGTAGATGGAGTATGTACATCCCGTGTATCGTTGTAAGGGTTCCTGTAGATGAGTATGTACATCCCGTGTATCGTTGTAAGGGTTCCTGTAGATAGAGTATGTACATCCCGTGTGTCGTTGTAAGGGTTCCTGTAGATGGAGTATGTACATCCCGTGTATCGTTGTAAGGGTTCCTGTAGATGGAGTATGTACATCCCGTGTATCGTTGTAAGGGTTCCTGTAGATAGAGTATGTACATCCCGTGTATCGTTGTAAGGGTTCCTGTAGATAGAGTATGTACATCCGTGTATCGTTGTAAAGGGTTCCTGTAGATGGAGTATGTACATCCCATGTATCGTTGTAAGGGTTCCTGTAGATAGAGTATGTACATCCCGTGTATCGTTGTAAGGGTTCCTGTAGATAGAGTATGTACATCCGTGTGTCGTTGTAAGGGTTCCTGTAGATGGAGTATGTACATCCCGTGTGTCGTTGTAAGGGTTCCTGTAGATGGAGTATGTACAGCCAATGTTTCGTTGAAAGGGTTCCTGCATATGGAGTTTGTACATCCTGTGTGTCGTTGTAAGGGTTCCTGTAGATGGAGTATGTACATCCCGTGTATCGTTGTAAGGGTTCCTGTAGATGGAGTATGTACATCCCGTGTATCGTTGTAAGGGTTCCTGTAGATAGAGTATGTACATCTCGTGTATCGTTGTAAGGGTTCCTGTAGATAGAGTATGTACATCCTGTGTATCGTTGTAAGGGTTCCTGTAGATGGAGTATGTACATCCGTGTATCGTTGTAAGGGTTCCTGTAGATGGAGTATGTACATCCCGTGTGTCGTTGTAAGGGTTCCTGTAGATGGTGTATGTACATCACGTGTATCGTTGTAAGGGTTCCTGTAGATAGAGTATGTACATCCCGTGTGTCGTTGTAAGGGTTCCTGTAGATGGAGTATGTACATCACGTGTATCGTTGTAAGGGTTCCTGTAGATAGAGTATGTACATCCCGTGTGTCGTTGTAAGGGTTCCTGTAGATAGAGTATGTACATCCCGTGTATCGTTGTAAGGGTTCCTGTAGATGAAGTATGTACATCCCGTGTATCGTTGTAAGGGTTCCTGTAGATGGAGTATGTACATCCCGTGTGTGTCGTTGTAAGGGTTCCTGTAGATAGAGTATGTACATCACGTGTATCGTTGTAAGGGTTCCTGTAGATGAAGTATGTACATCCCGTGTGTCGTTGTAAGGGTTCCTGTAGATAGAGTATGTACATCCCGTGTATCGTTGTTGTAAGGGTTCCTGTAGATGGAGTATGTACATCCCGTGTGTCGTTGTAAGGGTTCCTGTAGATGGAGTATGTACATCACGTGTGTCGTTGTAAGGGTTCCTGTTATGTACATCACGTATCGTTGTAAGGGTTCCTGTAGATGGAGTATGTACATCACGTGTATCGTTGTAAGGGTTCCTGTAGATAGAGTATGTACATCACGTGTATCGTTGTAAGGGTTCCTGTAGATGAGAGTATGTACATCCGTGTGTATCGTTGTAAAGGTTCCTGTAGATAGAGTATGTACATCCCGTGTATCGTTGTAAGGGTTCCTGTAGATAGAGTATGTACATCCTGTGTGTCGTTGTAAGGGTTCCTGTAGATGGAGTATGTACATCCCGTGTATCGTTGTAAGGGTTCCTGTAGATGGAGTATGTACATCCCGTGTATCGTTGTAAGGGTTCCTGTAGATGGAGTATGTACATCCCGTGTATCGTTGTAAGGGTTCCTGTAGATAGAGTATGTACATCCCGTGTATCGTGGTTGTAAGGGTTCCTGTAGATGGAGTATGTACATCCCGTGTATCGTTGTAAGGGTTCCTGTAGATAGAGTATGTACATCCCGTGTATCGTTGTAAGGGTTCCTGTAGATAGAGTATGTACATCCTGTGTGGTTGTAAGGGTTCCTGTAGATGGAGTATGTACATCCCGTGTGTCGTTGTAAGGGTTCCTGATAGATGGTACATCCCGTATGTACATCATGTACATCACCAGTGTATCGTTGTAAGGGTTCCTGTAGATGGAGTATGTACATCCTGTATGTCGTTGTAAGGGTTCCTGTAGATGGAGTATGTACATCCCGTGTATCGTTGTAAGGGTTCCTGTAGATGGAGTATGTACATCCCGTGTATCGTTGTAAGGGTTCCTGTAGATAGAGTATGTACATCCGTAAATCGTTGTAAGGGTTCCTGTAGATGAAGTATGTACATCCTGAATGTGGTTGTAAGGGTTCCTGTAGATGGAGTATGTACATCCCGTGTATCGTTGTAAGGGTTCCTGTAGATGGAGTATGTACATCCCGTATATCGTTGTAAGGGTTCCTGTAGATAGAGTATGTACATCCTGTAGTATATGTTGTAAGGGTTCCTGTAGATAGAGTATGTACATCCTGTGTGTGGTTGTAAGGGTTCCTATAGATGGAGTATGTACATCTCGTGTATCGTTGTAAAGGTTCCTGTAGATGGAGTATGTAACATCCCGTGTGTCGTTGTAAGGGTTCCTGTAGATGGAGTATGTACATCCTGTATGTGTTGTAAGGGTTCCTGTAGATGAAGTATGTACATCCCATGTATCGTTGTAAGGGTTCCTGTAGATGGAGTATGTACATCCGTGTGTGGATCCTTAGGGTTCCTGTATTGAGTATGTACATCATGTGTGTGTTGTGTAAGGGTTCCTGTAGATAGAGTATGTACATCCCGTGTATTGTTGTAAGGGTTCCTGTAGATAGAGTATGTACATCATGTGTGTGGTTGTAAGGGTTCCTGTAGATAGAGTATGTACATCCTGTGTGTGGTTGTAAGGGTTCCTGTAGATGGTGTATGTACATCTCGTGTATCGTTGTAAGGGTTCCTGTAGATGGAGTATGTACATCCCGTGTGTCGTTGTAAGGGTTCCTGTAGATGAGGTATGTACATCACCGTGTATCGTTGTAAGGGTTCCTGTAGATGGAGTATGTACATCCCGTGTGTCGTTGTAAGGGTTCCTGTATGGAGTATATACATCCGTGTGTCGTTGTAAGGGTTCCTGTAGATAGAGTATGTACATCCCGTGTGTCCTGTAAGTGGTCCTGTAG